TTTTTTTTTTTTTTTTTTTTTTTTTTTTTTTTTTTTTTTTAGTGGTGAATGTGAACTTGCCAGCGCTTTTGTTTGGTTTGCAGGCTTGCTTTCTGTGTGTTCTTTCACTAACTGCTTTTCTTTTCATTTTACTCAAGGCAGCGTCCCTTCTCTAGCAGCCGGTCTTCTCTTCGGTGGCTTAGCAGGACTAGGTGCCTACCAGCAGTCCAAAGATCCAAAGAATGTGTGGCTTTCCCTCGGTAAGTTTGCTCGGCACCCAAGTACTAAGCATTACCGGTAGCAGTGGGAATAGTAACCTTTTTTCTAGCACGTTTCAGCCTGTCTGCGCCCTTTTATTTATACAAATGTTCTAAGTGGTGGCAGGGCCTCCTGCCCGTAGCCAGGAGGTATTTGTGCAACAGCACGGTACCTGGTTCTAAGACCTCGGTTGCCCTTCTGGAAGCCAGAGTTGGTGAGAAATACCTGCGTCCTCTGCCAGACGAGATACCGTGTTAAACCAGTGTGGGCACAGGAAACGTACATGAAAAATGTTTGGTTGTGAAGCAGCGTTCCCAGTCTGTGGTCACGGAATAGGCATTTGAGCAATGGTGAAAGCACTGTGACAAGCAGTATATGGCTTTATGGAGTATTGGTTTGCAGAGGCATCTCCGAAGAAGAGCAGCGTATGTTTTAATGCATCGTACGCTGTGGAAGGAACAGTCTGAAGTATATAAAAGAAAGGAGGGAAGGATCTAATCTCCTTGCTTATGGTAGATGGGACAAGAAGTTGTGGGCTTAGCTTGCAGTTAACCCTTCAGGTGAAGCAGAAGGATAAAAAGACAGCAGAAAGTGTTATGAAGCACTGGAAGAGATCCGGTGAACCTCAGGGGCTTCCATCACTGCAGGACTTTAATAAGTGGTTCGACCAGTATCTGACAGGGATTGATCTTGCCTTTGGGCACTAGGTTAGCCTAGATGACCTCTTGGGGTTCCTTCTAGTTCCTTCTAGCTACACCGTAGGATTGTTACTGTTAGGATACTATAGCATTACAGTGATTTAAGACTACTTAAAACCAACAGGACTTGGTCACGTAATGTGCTGAAAGGCTTTATGAAACCCCTGGTAGATACTGCAGAGGACCAAACTGCCTTGTCAGTAAGGAATGAAATGTAAACCACAGCTCAATAAGAAGCAAAGTTTCCACTTGTGAACTTTCTCTTCTGCTCTGGCATGCCGTGGGAGCAGCTGTGCATCTCCGGCACGAGTTTTCAGGCAGTGTCATGACAGAAAAATGAGCAGCTTCCTTGTATCCTGATGTGATGCACGTAGTGCTTTCAATTGGACCTCCTGAAAGCGGTGTTGTGTCCCACTCTAGTACAACTCTTTATTCATCCATTCCTTCTCAGCCCTGCTGCGATGTGCAGTTGCGGCTCCCGCTGAGCTTTAGGTTGGTCACAGTACATGGAGGGTAGAAATCCGGAAAAAGAGCCTTGACAGAGTATCTTCAGAATACCTTTTGCCCTGTCTGGTGCAAACAAACTTGAAGCTTTGGAGAAAGGTATACACCACCTGCGCCTGCCTTTCTTCTTCGAAGAAACAACAGCCCCATAACTTTTATGTGAATATTGGTGGGATTTTTTTTTCCAGACATAGAGATTAAATAATTTGGAATAATCTTTAAAATGTTAGTCGCTCTTTCAGTTTGATCCCTTAGATTGCTTTCTGTTTGCTAATTCATATTTTCAGGTGGGATTGTTTTATTTCTAGTTGTAGTATTTAGTGCCACCTTCCAGTGCAGAATGTCACAGAGAAATGGGAACTGTAAGAATATTTGCCTCCCACATAGTGAACTTTGTCACCGTCCCAGCTTCCTGGCAGTTTTGAGCCTATCTGTATTCAAGGAAATAATAATTCTTCTGCAAGTAAGGAGAAACTGAGGGAGAGTTAGTGATCTGCCCAGAGGATTGGAGGCTGTGGGTGATTAGACAGTGGTCTCAACCCTAATGAGATCTGCTCACTTCTACTGAGCAGCGGAGCACGCTTACCAAAGCTGCGGAGAAGCTTGCCACAGCTCTGCTGTTTAACAAAAATAAATAAAATGTTTGCATAGGCTTCCTTGCGGAGAGGAGGGAGGCGTTCCTGTCTGTCGACACAGGCCTGTTTGGTTGGCGCTGCGAAATGTCCAAGCCTTGCGGTGCTGCGCTGGTGTTTCTATTTCAAATAGATCTGACCGGGCTTCTTTTCAACAGTGGCGTCTGGAACCCTGTCTGCTGTTATGGGAATGAGATTTTACAACTCCAGAAAAGCAATGCCTGGGATAATTGCTGGTGCCAGGTAGTCACCTCTCTTTTGTTCTTGTCTGTATTTTTGAATAGGCATTTTATTTAACTTATTTGCAGATTATATTGTTTTACAAATGTTATGTGGTAAGTTCTGTGAAAAATGAAATCTTATGGTGGAGTTCAGCTGAATGAAATCATGTCAGTGTTTTCTTCTGTCTTGTTCTTTATGGGATTTTTGCCTTTCCCTCCCCTTTTTTTCTTTATATATAACAACTATTCTGTTCAACAGTTTACTGATGGTTGGACGGCTTGGGCTGCAAATCATGGAAAAGCCTCTTAAGCCATAAGTCTGCATCAAGTCACTTGAAGATGCGTGATTGAGAAGCCTGAAAATGCAACTGCCTAAATGTGCTACACAAAAGTGGAAAAGGCACTGCTCTCTGTGCATTGTGTTTTTCATATGCTAACGCACGTGGGTTGTGTTTTTAAAGGACCGACGTTAAGAACCCTTGTTATGTCTTCCAAAATGGTATTTGTCTTAAGATTTTCTGCACTGTGAAGCAAGAAAATACAAGCATAGTGTTAGTTTAGCTTCTGGTCCTGCCGCTTACTGTAGGCGAAGACCTCTTGGCACTTGCATACAGACAGTTGCAGGATTGAAGCTTAAATGTACATCTGGACTTGTCATTCTAAAATCATCTATACCTCTTAAAACAAGGGGAGAGGAGTTGCCAATTTATCACTAGTAATTAATATAACAACATGCTTATTACGTTACCCCTCCCCTTCCACTTCCCTGCCAGTTTATCCGGTCATCACGTTTGTCAGTCAGGGGCTTTCTTCTCCCAGCACTGTGCGTTAGCACCTGGTCCCACAAAACACAATCACGGAGCAGGCTGTCGAGGTTCTGCTGTAATGCAGTAAATGCAAACCTGTTACTTGCAATTACTTGTAAGCAAAAGTGCCCAGCTAAATGTCATTCTTTTCACTTTTACAGATTATTATTCATAAATCAAAAATATGCTTTATTAGATAATGCTGAATTGTAGGCATAGCTCTTGTATTTAATAAGAATTGTTATTCTAAATAAATGAACAAATTATTATTACAAATTTTTGTGTTCTACACAACTTTTTTTTTTTTTCTTTAATTGTTCATCTGGATTGATACAGTTTGGTGCCTTTCCCGCAGGGTGTCCGAATATATTTGTGAACGTGGATTGTATAAATTATCTCTATTCCGTTCCCTGAATCTAGTGACTTGTAAATATAAAAATCCCATGAACTGGGAGGAAGTGTAGAGAACAAAAGCATACAGACCATATATTTCAGACAAGCATTACATTAAAAATATATATATTTTTTTTTTTCTGAGAGGAATCATCTATTTCAGATTTGAAAAATGCTCTATGAAAGTTTATTTAAAGACTGAAGGGCTCAGTTGATCAGTCTTTGTCCTCAGTTGATTCCCTTGATGCCTGAAATCATTCTAAATATAAACTTGCCATGCTGAAGTAATCCTGGAGCTACACATGGATGGTAACGTATCCCTTTTCTGGTCTCATTTAACTGATGTCCCTTTCTGCGCAGATCCTGAGCTTCGATTTCCTCAACCTTTCTTCTTTGGTGGCTGGGACTGGGAGAGCGGGAAACAGTGGGATTGATCTGTTAGATCGGTGAGACTCCGGAGTTGCTCAGAGCTCTCTAAATATCAGGCTAGTACCTTAGGAGGATGGTGACGTCTTGTGGTCTTCCTTCCCGCAGCAGAACGGGCAGGGTGGTGGCCCCGCACTGCCTGAGCAGGGGCGCAGAGCTGGGCCGGTGGCAGCAGCCAGGCTCTGCCAGCAGTGCCGTGGTTGGCCCGGCGAGTCGCAGCGATGAGGCAGGGCTGTGGTCAAGCCGGGCTGCCGAGTCAGCGGACTGGGTTCCGGATCAGCAGGGACGTGGCCAGGCGCCGGCACAGCTCCGGCAAGGGCAAGGGTCTCAGCAGCCTGGTCCCAGGCCACACAATTCGGGTCAGAGCTGGTTTGAGCGCGGGCAGCGAGAGCTCTTGGCGGGGGAGCTGGACTCAGGGCCCTTTCCTAGAGCTCCTGTCCACCAGCCTGCAGAGTTCAGCTTCAGCTGCTCACCCGTATTTACTTTTCCTTCTTACTGCCCTGCATAGAAACAAGGGGTGCCCAGGACAGCAGATGGTGTGTTTATAAATCATCCTTTTAAGTGCCTAATCCCAGGCTGCGGACCTAGCAGGTGTCTAAATGTCTTTGCTCTAGCTTTGAAAGGGTTAATAAGCCAGACATTAGCATTTAAGACACTTCTCTTGAAACTACTGTGCGGGTTATTTGCTGCTTCATACTGCTTTTGAAGCAGTTATCTTCTGCGGAAGATGCAAACAGAAGTGCATCTCCTGCAATAAACTGAGAACAGCCACAATCCATCAGTTTTCTAACTGTGTAATGCTGGTCTCAAATCAGGTAACGTGTGAATTTGGGCTGCATTTGTCCTTTAATGGAATAAAGACAACACAAAGCAGGGAACTGGACTGATGAGCTTTTAAACTTAGACCAAAGTGTTACACCTTGCTGCTGTTTCATGAGCTTTGGAAAGCAGTAGCTTGAATTGAGAACTGCTGGTAGAACTCGTTACCACTTTTCATGTTCAGGAAAAACAGTAGTAATCCAATCAAAGGGAGGAGAGAAAAGCCGGCGCTTTATGTACTTTTTACCCCCTTGGAACTTTATCAGCATATACTACATTTCTTGAGCATTAGATGGCATTTCTGCACTAACAGTTCAACGTGTATCAATGAATCAGAGTTAAAATGACTGTACAAAGCCTATTAGCCTCTTACTTCTGTTTTTTCTTGCTGTTTACAACAAGAATTTCTTAACATTTGTCACACTTTCGTTATGGACAAGTAAAGGCTGTTATGGTTATGTCAAAGCCGGTTCGATGTTCATTATCCTATGGTAAGGACAGCATGTTTCTTTTAGCCATGTTTAGTACCATAAATAGTACCTATTTATTTTTCTGATGTAGGTGATTTATGGACATGTAAGCTATGGACACGTTACTAGTTAATTCCTTGCCCAGACTGTGATTTTAACTAAGTCACTGGTGTCTTGTACTAGAGATGAGTGATTAATTTTTCTTTTTTTTTAATTATGAAACCAGTGCATTTATGCCTGTTACAGAAAGTCTGAGGTTGTCCTTCATTGCCATAGCCAGTTACAGATATATTCTGCAGATAAATTAAGATGCATTTAAATAGCATAGGGACATCTGTTAATACTAAGGGCACAACAAATAATTAAGCCTAGACCAATGGCAATTGAATTAAAGTCTCTAGTGCATTACTAAGCAGATATCCCTATCCCTATGTAGCTTTTCCAGTATTAAAGTGGCATTTTCTTTAGGTGCAATTTTCATAACAAAATATTTGACTTTTGGTACAACTGTTTTAGATTAAATCAATTTCCAGTAAGTTAACATAACCCATATATTGTGGCACATTAGGTCAGCAACAGGAATTTAAATTTTTATATGCAGTTATAAAAGCCATACAAATACATTTCTTTTTTACAATGCTTAAAGTAATCTTTAACAGCTTTACATCTTTGAGGAACGTACATACTCATTTTGTACTTTAAAATGGCAGCTTTAATGTAACTACTAAGGCTAAAGAATCTATGCTAAATGCAGTTAACAGTAGTAGCGTAGCTCAACATCCTAGAAACAATTCATTGTACGTTGCAAGATCCTTTGCAGGATATTACTATAAAACTTAGCATAGAAGCCAGGGAAAGTATTGAATGAGCATATAAATAGTGAGGTATTGCATTATTAAAGTTTGTTGTGTGTTTTCAGGTACCTAAGTTGGCCTTTAAGATCTAAACCAGAAAGCAATGTCTCTGAAGAACAGCCCAATATCCTCCATTGTGTAGCTTATTCAGCTTCTGTAGTTTAGTGCGATCACCCAATAAAAACATGTAGAAACAGGAGTTTAATGATAACTTGCGGCTTTTTGGCTAATTCACCCTTAAAATGACTGACAGACTGCAGTGATTCAGGCTCCTTTAAATGTCACTGTGACACTCCCTTGACAGAACAGATATAAATCTCCACAGATCTTTGACCAAAAATGGTCGTAAGTTAATTATAACAGTAGAATCTAATTTTTAGGCTTCACTACAGCTTGGCAAGGTAAGGCTAGCATTCGGTACTTGTTTAACTATTTGCCAATATTGCTATATCATTCTATAGCCATATATGGGCCAAGTTTTTAGACCTTCCTTGTGTACTATTTTTCAGTGGATTGCTTATGTCCTGCTACAAGGAGTTATCATTGCTATTACGAATATTTGCACATTACAGACTCTAAGTAACTCTTAAGTACAAGTGAGTTCTGAAATCCATGTATGAGAGCGTGGTGTTCTTCACAAAGCCTGATCTGTGCTTTGACTCTCATCTTTCTGGTCAGGAACCAGCCTAATACCTGAAAGTCTGGTGCTGCTCTGTTTTAGCCCTGCTTCTAGCTGCTTGTGTACTTGAGAGCAAGGATAGGAGATCCATCTATAGAAAAATGTCGAGTGAAATCTAATTCTCAGTAGTTTTGGCAATATGTGTTATACAATACTTCAAATAAATCCTACTTTATAGCCCGTATTTTATGTGGTGGTATATGTACTATACAGGTAATAGAACACAAGGTCGGTTTTTTTTCTTTTTTACTATTGCATAGTCTTAGGAAAAGTGAGAGCAAATAGGCATTTCAGGTTTCCAGTGCAGGAGAACTGAACACAGCTCACATAATATCTATGTAGGATGGCGTTTTCTATCTGTTTCCTCCATATTTGGCCACCCAGTCTGTTCTTCCATGTACTGGCTGAATTGTTGGTGGGCGAGTTAAAATAGTCACGTTTTTTGCTGCTGAATTGAAAGTAGGACCCGGTAACTGAGCACGAGCAGCTTTGGTTTTCCAGGAATAATCTGAAAGGAACAAGAACTCAGAATTAGTTATGACTCAAAAGATATTTCACTCCTTTACAGATAAAAGAATGAGAGCTTAAAGGTGACTTGTGGTACTCAAGGATGCTAACACAGCAGGATGCTTTGGTCTCTGATATGCTGTCAATGCTTGTTTTCAGATAAGGTTAATGTTTCTTACAGTTTGTGTATCTTACTGGTAATTTTCATCTACTGGATACTTGTTTTGCAACAATCCCTTGAGAAAACATTGAGACAGAAATTCAGTGGAAAAACTGATGTGTATGTCTACAGCTCTGTATCTCCTATTACAAAATGGCTACACAATGGAAGTGTTCTTTCCTCTATCATCTCAAATATCTGAAAAAGCATATAATTATAACATTGCTAAGCTTATTAAAAGCCAAACAGCCTAGACTGAAGGACAGCTTCTGGAGACCCTCTTCTTCCTTTTGAGATGTTATGCCTCTTATTCCCCTCCTGCTTAGCTGAGAACTCCTGGTGTAGCTGGTGGCGAGTCCGCTTCATCTCCATTTCCCATGTCTCTATAGATTTCATAGGATCTCTTCCACGTCGTCAGGGTTTTTTATCCCTTATATTGGCATCCACTCAGTCTCAGGCCCTGGTAGTAGTGTGCTACTATATTCCCGGCCTTCCTACCCAGATTTCCCCTTTCTGCATTTCAGGTACTGACTACATGCTTAAGCTTCATGTGATTACAGTAATTGCCCTGCTGCAGGGGCTCACTGCTCATGGTTTTCTTCATGTTAATCACCAATTCTGCTATTTTTCCAAG